ACAAGACAAGCTCAAACACGATCTAATTTCAAATAAAGCTTTGTTTGATTAAATGCTTTTTTATTTCTCGCATCACAGCTTTTATCTACTTACTGAATAATTTGCTGAAAAAAATACTGATCTATACATTTCAAATCTAAGTTTTCACTGTGCAACTCAACTAGTTTTTCTTATAAAGTGCAATTAAACCTTATAATATGGTTAAGGATCTGGCCAAATTATCTTCATCAGTTTCCAATAAAAGGTTGCTTATTTCTTTGTGTATCCAAAACTTGTTCTACAAAAACCTGACTGGTATTTAAGTCGCTTTACTTGTTGCATTTAAGTATTGTGCATCTCGCACCTTAATGTATCATTATTTTGTTTTTGATAATGGGCAGTTGAATTTCATTGTGCAGCACCCACAGTAGAGAAAGTATTGGAGTGTAATTGGGCAACACTGGAATCCATAAAAACTGTTTTTTAATCTCTATCAGTAGCATATTTGTCTACTGTTAAACCTGATTTTGATAAATGATCTAGTGATTTTTGTAAGCACACATTTGTAACAGTTCAATAGTCATTAAGTATTTATAAATCGAAGTTTGGGTATCCTGTCTTCAAGTTACATAAGTCACTTGAAACAGAATAAAATTACATGGCTTGTTTGCTATCTGCATTCTGTCCATCACAGGGAATCAACCCAGATTACTGCTGACCCATCCACTGGAGGGGTGGGGTCAGTTACGTACATATATAGAACTCCATCCTCACATCTGAAGCTCACCTATTAGTTACTTTCCAGTTGTAACAGAACTTGGGACAATCTTCTGATTTGACTTAAAACTGTATGGAATGGATGTACACGTATGAAAATAAAATTCATTTAACTTAAAAGCGTACTTAAACCTACAGAGCCAAGCACGATTACAGTAATTATGTCATTCTTAGGTCCACAGAAACATGACAATAAGATTGATAATAATAGTTTTGAAAATCATACTTTGTCACCTTTAGCATTATAGACTATTTTAGTCACCTCTGTATGATGCAGCCACAAATTTTAAGCAGATGAAATGCATTATATTAGCATCTTTTTATTAAGAAGGTTACTTAATGATGTTTCATCAAGCAATTTCAAATATTTAACACACACATTTTTGTTTATTAAGCCAGTAAGTTTACTACTACTAAACTGAAAACCTTATTTTACACATTCAACCACTATCTTCTCTGCAAATGTTTTCCATACACAAGTACATCATGATCTCACCTTTTAACTCTTCAATTAGTTTTGTGAATCGCCACGTTTGAAACATAAACCTAATTAACGTTTCAATGCATAACTTGTGTACTTCCTCTAAACTTTTGTAGTTTCATAATTCTTGCAGTCACTAAATTAATCACTTTATATTTAATATATTTAACTCAAATACAATGTAATATATTATAAAGGTTTAACTGTAAATAGTAATAATACTTTAACTACAGACATGGTGAAATAATTAATTCAACATGATAGTGATAACACTGGCAAGAATTTCATTTTTCAAGTTTAACTGGAGATACCAATCAATGAATAGTAATACACACACACACACACACACATACAAACAAACATTAAAAAAATCTGGCTACACCCCACATCTTAGCAGTACTCTTATTTCACGAGTCACTGACTTGAAAGTGACACTAAAACACACTCTTCTATGTGAAGTAGGCAATATATCATCATGCAACATGTGTTATGTACAAGTTTTTTATTTTCAGATCTTTCTGATAAACAACATGGTGTTGTAAGGAATTGGCTCACAAAGTCAGAGCGTTAAATCTATTTTACAGAGCTTCAAATAAAAGAAAAACTGTAGCAAAATATTAGAAAACATTTTTCAGTTTTAAACTAGTTTGTGTTCTCAGTTTCTAAAAAAGTGCATGCAAGAGAGAAACACTCTCTGAAAAATGAAGCACCGGCAGTCCAAACACTTACCAACAGTCTCACTACAATTAATGGCTTTCTGGGCCTGAGCTTTGGACCCTTCCTATAGCCAGAAACATAAATTCTATGTCTGACAAAAATTGGTAAGCTCTATGTTAAAAAAAACAAATTTTGAATATAAATCAATGTTAAACAAGATGTTCAGAGTTGCAATTCATAAACCTGTCTGTACCTTTTCTCTTTATAAAAACCCCACAAAATATATATATATATATATATAAAACAACAGAAGATATTAAAAAACACATTACTTTCTATTACTACATACACTTGGTCTTATATTGTTTAACAATGAGACTGCTGTCTTAGGACAAAAGACTTATGAAGGGCATTATCTGATATGTCCCTATGGTTTTAATTTTCTGTAAAAACTATCCATTCAATAACCAACACAACCCTTTTTTTCTGCTTAAAAAATGTAATATAAAATACTCTCTTTACTGAATTTACATTAAAAGAGAAATTAAACCAATATTATGCAGAAACTTAAGCTAACATATTTATACTTTTCAGACAAATGGTCATCTTATAGATTTTATCATTTGATACTATAGGCAGTATATAGAAAATTTAACTGAAGAAAAAATGAATGTGTAAAATAATTAATTTTAAAACTAATGCTCATGTTGCTCAGAATTTTAAAGTAAATTTTTTTAATGGTTTTTACATTATTTGCTTTTATGGTTACCAAAAGCTTATGAATGCCTGAAAAGTACTCTAAACTGTTTTACCACTTAGTGGTTATGTTTAAACAGATAAGTAATAAAACATCTTTATGTCACCAAGGAAACAACTGAGCAAACAAAATTACATACTAACACTATTTTTTAAACATAAATCTGAAAAAAAAACAAAAAAACTTGTCAAACCTGAGGAGTTTTATTTAATAATCTTAATCTTAGAAAGAGCTTTAAAAATCCATAAATCCCAAAAATAAGCAAGTCATTCTATTTTATTTAAGATGTGTTTGGAAAAAGAAACAGAATTAATTCATCAGTAACACAAGAAAAAAAAAGATAAACATATTTTTGAAAAATTACTAAAAAGTGTCTTGACTCATCATCAAGTGATCTTTTCATAAAAATTAAAATTCAACAATTTGGATGCCCTAGACTATTGGTTTCCTAACAGTTTTAATCACCGACAGCAACAGAACAAACTTCTCATTTGTGTGACACCTGGTGTCAAGATGCTGTCGTTTTTTTCTTTCTTTCAACGAACAGCTCATTATTTTGTTTGACATATTTCACTTTTAACACTCATACAAAGATGTACTATACATTTATTACACATTTCTTCTTCAGGAGTCATAATCATCTTCTTCTGTGCTTGTGTTGGTGTTATACGTGCATGTCGGTACCAACGCAGGACCACTTAGTCGTGGGGCAGTATTTCTAAGAGAGAAACCAAACCTTAAATTAGATGTCTGCAAAGATCATATTCTTGAAATACAGTGTTTAATTTTTTATCCAGAATTACATTTAAGTTCTTTTATATAAAAATTATTCTGAAATGCAACATATAAAACTTCCTAATTCTCAGGTTTTCTAAAAGTTACACCAAGCAAACAAATGTATATTACAATGGACAGACTACTTATTAAACACACCTATATACATGTTACATCACACTTAAAGGAAATACAAAGTCCTTATCTTACCATTTCATGTACATGACATATAAACCTTGTCAAATTGTACAATTATGTTAAAGATCAAGAAGTCTAACAATGCATGATGTACTTTTGTGTTAATACAATATGTTTAAAGTTTCATACCTGTGTTCTGTAATTTCTTTTTTTTTTGCTATCATTTCAAAGATATAAAACAATTCTTAAAGTGCCAAAAATCTGCAAATAGAAGTCTTTGCTTTCTACACCTGACTATGTCTTATGGCTTTCTAGAAATACAAAGTGCATGTTTATAACTTACCGTTTATCATACATACATTGGCAAATGTTGCAAGTTATTCTAAATGGATGCTGTTTGAACTTATATTAACAGATTAGGCAGTGCATGATTCAGAGGAGTTTGGTTTGAATTTTGTGCAAAGCTACACGAGGGCTATCTGCACTAGCCTTCCCTAATTTAGCAGTGAAAGACTAGAGGGAAAGCAGCTAGTCATCACCACCTACTGCCAACTCTATCACCAACAAATAGTGGGATTGTCCATCACATTATAACACCCCCACAGATGAAAGGGCAAGATGTTTGGTGGAATGGGAATTCAAACCAGCAACCCTCAGATTGAGAGATGAGCACCCTAACCACGTGGCCATGATCTAGAAGAGACTTACGTTATTTTGCTAGTTTATGAGAACTAATTAAATTTTACTCTCAAAAGTTGTTAAAATTTTCTAGTTATGAAATAAAACAAGATAATGACTCACAGATTGTTAACCCCATAACTTTCGGATTGGGTTATTACAGACTTCCTGCGGATAGGTACCATCCTCTGGTTATCAAAAGTGTTTTCACTACTTGCATCTTCAGAATCCTTAGAAGAGTACAGCAGAGAAATTTTGATGATGAATAATAAAGAAAAGTACTTTATAAATTAATATACTGCATCCCATCTCTCATTCTACTGATACACTTGGTGAAAATATAAAAATATCCACTTAGTTATTAATCTATTACACATAGGAGGTAGATTTTCAGTAAGTGATAGTAGTTGTTGTAAGTTATACCGTAATCTTTAACAACATTAAAAGTTTCTTTAAGCCTACGTCCATGATTAGGAGTCACAGTATGTATGTCACAGCCTTTTACAGAGTGCCATTCAACATATTCTATGTCATTTTACCATACATTGCCAATTTAGTGACAGTTCATGGTAGAGAAGATTAAACACCATATACAATATTACAAGGATACTGATACAAACTATAGATATGCATTTCAGGTCAAGCAAATGCAATATTCAAACTTTACTATTTGCTTCAATAGAAAACACTAAGGCTGATGTCTTTCAAGTGTTGTGTTTTTTGATTCTTTAATAAGTGTTTCAATATTCTCCCTATATGAATATCTTTCTTCAAAAAAAGGGGTTGTAACATTTTTCTCCAGCTTAATTCTAACCATTGCAGCATTGGTTGAAGATGTATGTTGCACCACGTCTTTATAAAAGTTAATAACACAGAGCTTGATAAAATAAAGTTCAAGCAATACACACACACACACAGCACTACAAATAGTTTTTTCATGCACAAAATAACAACAACAAAATTCACATCGATACTTTAAATACTTCGAAAGTATTGTCAAGTAACTTCTTTTAGTAACATAACTGATTTTTGGTGTACAACAGACTTGTACATTTTACTAAACGTCTGCCACATTTCACGTACAAACATGTAGTAAATTTGGAATTATAATTAATGTTCTTTCTTTGGTAGAAGGTCAGTCTAATAGTTCCTGTAATTGTATAAAAACTGTAAGGTATTTCTAAGAGAACTTCTGTAATCAAGCAAAAACTTTTGCAATAAGAAGCAATGTATCTTGAAAGATGTGTTGTATTTAAGTACATTGAACTGACATCTAAAAGATAGCCACAAGTTTATACAAACATGCAGGTTCAGGAAATGTTATGTAGAGAACAAAGTTAACAGGAACAGCAAAAGAAAACAAATAAATTAAATCTTTATTCACAAAAGTGTAATGTTTAATAAAAAACAGGTCAGCTTCTTATTCTGATATGATGTCTCAGTGGTTATTAGGATGAGAGTGGCTTTCTTAAAATCTACCCCAGTTAAGGACAGGAAGAATAATGTTATACTACACTTTAAAAGTAAACAAAAAAGGTCCTATTAAAGTATTCTATACTCCACAAATTACCTATATCAATGACAACTATTCCAAATGATATAATCAAAGGAGAGAACCCCAATCCAACTTGTCCAAGCATCTGTATCACCCCTTGTGATGGGCTTATCTCCACCCACCCCCCACAGGGAATAGAATCAGGATCAAACTGGTACAAGATTTCATACAATAATCATTTTCATATCTAACCTTTCAACACCTGGTCTACAAGGGTGTCATGAACATGAGCATAATATATACAGAAAAGTTTTAACAAACTAACTTACTATAGATATATCCTGAATTAGTTAAGAAAGGTTGAAATTATCAATTATTTAAACTGTAACGACTGTAATTAACTCTCAACCTACATTACATTATATTTTTGCTGAAATATGAAGGGTCAACTCCCCCTTCTGAAACAGTATTAATATCCTTAACAAAAACCAAACTCATTAGGGTGTTCCCAAAATATGAAGTGTATCACAATACAGCCTTCAAGTTATTCTGAGAGTAATAATGATTAAATTTGCCTAATGTAGATAAACAGGATGAACTTAATATACTAAAATATATTTTTCTACACTTCTATTAATAACCACATAAGTCTTACATTTTCTCTTTTATCTACAAGATACCTTAATATTTAAGAAAACAAGAATAGAAAAGTATCCTACTTCATCATCATTTTTGAGCTCTTCATCACTAGCTGTTTCAGAGTCCTCTGCTGTTGATTGACTTGGTCCTGCACTGTCCTCTCCAGTAGGCCTATTTCTTGGTCGACCTCTACAAAAGTACAACTGAATGGTCAATAGCTATAAGATATTCACAGACATAAGCAAGAAGTATATACCATACACCACATTGTTCAGGTGTTCATTCATGGAAAACCAACTGTTTATATGAAAAAGTACAAATTAATATTTCTTTTATAAGACATTTTTATTAGTCCTATTATATTTTTTTAAACACAACATTCTTTATCTTGTCCTAAATTAGGGATTTTCAAGAATCAGAAGAGTATATTACAATAGTAGTTCAACCACACTACATACACCCTATTCATTGCCAATGACAAATTTTGCTCTCCAGAACTCTTCAAGCTGACCGTGATACAACAAACATAGTAACAGTTAGAACACTATTTACATAAGCCATTTGTTACAACAACAATTGTTATGGTGTAAATTCCTTTTCCAAGCAGGCAATGGATATGGCAAACACAGAATGGTTGAAATAACATCATTATACACTCTTTTAGTTTGTGAAAATCTGTAAGGGACTAGATAAAGAATGTAATGTTAAAAATATAATAGGCCTAGTAATAATAATGTCTTACGACAAGAATAATTATTTATAATCATGCTTCACCAGCTTTGAAAAGGCATTCACACCATAACTAAAAGTACAAATGTTATAACAGTTAAAACAGGTTTCAAATCTAGTAACGTGTTTAGAAATTTTTCAAATATTATAATGAACTATACATTGAAATATTGTAGATGGTTTATATATCATGTGACAATAGCCTTTCAAAACTTGGTAAGGTTATTCTTTATGGATTAATACCAAAAATGTGGCTCTATTTTGCTGCAATAGTGTGAATGCTCTATATATTCAATACAAAAGACATGCACCCTATGAAACCTGAAGGTTTAAACATTCTGTATACAATTAAAACAAGTACTGAGGGACTACGTACATCTTATATGATCACACGTAATATAAATAATTAATCAGATCTAACATTAAACTTTACACTGATTAACAAAATATGTTTCATCACTTTCTCTACTAAGTACCCTGGATATCCAGCTGGGTAAGGACCTGAAGGATGAGGCTCAATACCACCACTTGTAGCCATTTCTTCTTCTATTTGAACATCAGGTACAGAAGCTACTAAATCTTTCAGAAAGTGAAGTTGTGGGTCAGCTATAATGCAGGCCTTTCTGCAAGAAAGAAAATGTTCTATTTTCTTAACCTTTTGATAAACATTAAGCACAACAAAGCAGATTCAAGCATATCCAAAATCCATAGGTTTTAATGAAACAATAAATTCAAACATTTCAAGTAAGAAAAACTGATACACCCTGTAATGTTACTAGTTAGTACATCAAATACATATAAACAGTGAACTAAATACATATTTTATGTCTCAGTACTTTATTTTGCCATGTGGAATCCCAATACAATAGATTAGGTTAAAATTAAAGAAGAGTTTATCACAGAATTTTTGTTAAACCTAGAAAAACCTAGTCTATTATGCTAGTTACTATAAACTTGAATTGGTCATTTCATCCAGCTTATTTAACATTTTGTTTAGCAATCAAAACTTAATACACATCAAGTCTTGTAATAGGGCTGACTGATTACACCATTTATGATAAAGACTGAGTATCTGTCAATAACAATGTGCTATATGATGGTAAACAATCTCATGTTCACAAATCTAATATAAAGAGCTGTGAGACTACACATGCACAAACATCAGAACCTGTAAGAAACTAAGAATGATATAGGTTCATATCAGAAAATTACTAATGAATACATAAAAAAGGAGAGTTCTAGTCTGGAAATAAAGATACAATGATCAAGTCATATTGACAAATTTTATTTAATTTTTACTCAATGCACTACAAATGTAAGCTAAAGTGACACACACACACACACATCTTTTGATAAAAAAATTACATAAATGAAATTAATATTCAGATAATACTGTTTGCATCTGAAATACAGTAAGATGTTAAAATTTTAGTGCATATATTCTGCTACTATATGTGAATAAGTTTAAGAAAATGTGCTGGATTTAGGTTTTGTTCAATCATATTATCAACTCACTTTAAATTTCAGAGTTCCTCAGAGTATTTGATATTTAATGGCATTAAAACAGACATTAGTAAATAATGGTGTAAAAAAAAGGTTGTTTTAAACTTAGCTGGTGCCATTAACTGTAAGAAAGCTTAACAGTTATCTAGCATAACTTGTTATTTGCAAGTCTAAACAACAATAACTCAAATACAATTCACACAAAACCTTCTGTGAAAAATACTGTTTAAGACCTTTCTTCCTTAAACAGTTCTTAACAGGAGAATATCAAGATACATAATAAATATTTTGTGCTGTTTCAGGAATTATAACAAACAATTTTACTTCTGGTAATTAATCACACAAACAGATGAAACAAGTGGTGTAATCTTGAACAACCACTTATTTGGGTGTTGTGTTCATTCAGTCTTGGGCTCCTTACCTTAGGAAGGAGATTGAATTGTTCAAAAGGATTCAAAAAAGAGCTATTAGGATGATATCCGCAATGGAAAGGCTGTGATATGATGACGACAGATTAAGATCTCTGAAATTGTTTTCTCTTGAAAAAAGAAGAGTCAGTGAAGATCTGATTGAGGTGTTTAACATTGTTAAGAGAATGAGTAGTGTTTGTGTATCATCTTTTTTTGTACTTAATGGTGATAAGTTTAGAACTAAGGGACACAAATATAAATCTTTAGAAGGTAGAAATCATCTTCAGCCAAGACATTTTATAATTAAGTATGGCAGTAATTAATAGTAGGGGTTGTGATGAAACAAAATGATGGCTACAAATCGCCTGTTTAAAAGCCACCTTTAAAATGTCTGAACATTAACAATGACTATATCATAGCATTGTCAGAGCAAAACTAAAGTTTATTGTACATATAAAACTGCCTGATGTACAGAAAAAATGACAAACCTTATTGCCCTAATTTTTTCACAGAACTCTTCCATCTGGAATCCCAATGATTTCTTTCTTCTACCGAAAAGGATACTAGCATGTGTATATATTTGTGTGTGTGTGTGTGTGTGTGTGTGTGTGTGTGTGTGTGTGTGTGTGTGTGTGTGTGTGTGTGTGTGTGTATATATACATATATATATAGTAAATAATTAAAACAGATGATGTGCTGCTTTGGGCATATAATGATATTTGAGGGTAGGTTGGTAGAAATCCTCATGAATAATAAAATCGAATCTGGTTTTTAATTCTAAAAACGTATTGAAACCAGAAAGTCAAAACTCAAAAACTGAGTTACTTAAAATTTAAAAAAAAATTATCCCTACTTTGGCTCAGACCAACATAATTAATGATTTATCAAAGTATCGATTAAAATTTTTAAATTTTAAGTAACTCAATTTTTGTAGTTTTGACTCCTGTTTCAATACTTTTTTTGTAGCATCAAAAACTGCTTTATTACTATAGCTAGCTAGGTTACGTATATATTGATCCCTACATGTCTTCATAAGATTTAAGTTTTTGTTATTATTATATTTGCTTTTTTTAACAGGGTGGTTGGCTTTTGGAATAGTTTACTTTGAGATATGGTGGATGCAGTAATTTTAATGGAAGGGTTGATAAATATTTAAATGATAATTTAGTGGATAGGACAGCCTATATGGACCAATAGATCAGTTGTTCTTAAATTGCAAGTTATGATAATATTTTCATGCACGTAGTATTAAAAGAAATTATGCAGAGCCCAAGGATGCTTTCACAATAAAATATTTTATGTTGAAATTTAACTTGTCAAATTTTTTCTGTCATTACAACTAAATATAAAAAGACACTTTTATGAAACTCCATAACTTGTAGTACTAAAAGCATCAAAGTGCAAAAGGTCCTGGCTACAGGTACAACTATCTGTTATGAAATTATATCTAACGAGATAATAAATTATTTATATCAGTGAAAATAAATAAATAAGAATTTTTAATGATTATAATTCATGCTGAATTATTCAGTTACAAAAATAAACTACTTGAAGCTACTTACAAATGTGAGGTGGTGAGAGTCTTAGCATTCCTGGACCGTGTAATATCACTGGTTCGTTTGACAAGAGATTCCACAAACAGTTCTAATGCCCTTGCTAACAACATTAAGTTCAAGAAAATTAAAACATAAGAAAAGGCACAGTGATAGAAGGCCATCAGCCTAACAAGGTCACCCTTAAACTGAGAAATATACTAAAAACTTTTATTATTATTAAATACAACTTTAACTTAATCTCTGTTGTATCCAAACACTTATCCAACAACAACAAAAATAATAAGATAATTAAAGCTAGCACTACAAATTACATCATCAAAACATTCCCCAAGTTTATCATTCTAACTGAAAATAAAATAAAAAGTTTACATCTGAATTGACTGTGAAATGGGCAGCAACTGCCTATTAGAGAAATACTTGTAAAAGTAATATATACACACTAATGACTATGCAATCTACTTATGCAACTCAAGTGTAGATGACATAGTTTCAAAAAACCTTCCACCTTTCATCTTCAGATCAGTTTGCGCAAGCTACTTCAAGCCTTATCTAGTATCCAGGTTGATTGAGATGGATGTGCTTTGATTATTTAGTTTGCATTTAGGCTTTAAAGAGTAATTCCATCAACTCTCTTTTAGAAGTTTGTATTTCTAATGTTTTCGTTCCACCACTCAAACAGACAATCCATAGGAGTGGAAGACTGAATACTGCTTATATTTCTAACAATTTTAACACCTTAATCAAGTTTCCCTAATTGTTCTGCACTGTGAAGGAAATAAGTTCAACATCCAAACATCTCCTCATTGCTCATACAAAGTATTATTTGTAATGCCTCTCACAGCCATTTTAAACATGTAGGCATTGTTCTTGTAGTGGTATGATTACAACTGAACAAAGTACTCTCCACAATAACTTTTCTTAAATTTAAAATTTCTGAAAACACAACTTAGAAATCTATTTTCATCACAGCCTAACACTTCAGATGGTTTATGGGTTTTATCAATGAACACACATAAATCTATATTCTTCTACAGCAACAGTATTTTTTTCTCCCAAGTAGTAAGTCCACTTTGAATTATCATGCCCCAAATGCACAGCATATAATATTAATAAAGGCTCCATCCAGCTGGGGCATGAAGAAGCTCTCTTATCAAATCAATGTGATCATGACAGGAATTTTGTCTGCACTTGACATGTTGTCAGCGAGCATGTTTAGTGACAATGTTCAAACCCATGATCTGCAGATCTCGAGTCAACTGCCTTAACTACCAGGCCATGCCAGGCAAGTGTGCAGTTTAACATTTCTCAAATTTAAAACTCAACTTCCACACACTGGTCCAATCAATAAGACAGTCATGATTTTTTAGATAAGAAAAGCATTCTCAATAAAATAGGCTCTTCCCACAATTTCAGTTTCCTCATTGAATTTAGGAAAATTACTGTTCAAGTTATCCAAATCAATAACTTAAATACCAAATGAAAAAGTCTCAAAGGATCCCAGTAGTCTAATCCTCCAAGAGTAATAGAAGGGTAATGAGTGATCTTACTAGCATCTACAAGACTAACCAGGGAATTAATAGGATAAAGACCTGATTTTTTTGTGCTGACAATAAAATGATAAGAAACCACAAGTTTATGATAAGGAAAAAGACAAGCTAGGCACCACTTAAGAATGTTTTTTTTTTGTTTTATTATCAGGGTAATTGACTGATAGAACGAGCTGCCATCAGCAATAGTGGAGGGCAGCACTTTACAAGAGTTTTAAGAATGAAACAATGATTTCCTGAAAAATAAAGGTTGGATTTAAATTTTTATTATTCTCAAAAGTGGGTGTGCAAGGGCCCAAATGGCCCTCATTTGTTGTCAGTAAGATATGTTGAAAAAAACAGGATACTCTCACCTAAAAAAGTGAAGATCTCCTCTGCCAAAATAACCTCCAACAAACTGGTAGAGCAAGAACACCCTTTTCTAAAATCATGTTCAAATAAAATGAAATACTAAAATCAACCCCTTTCTCTTTAACTAGTTCTTATCAATACACACAAGTACACACACCTGTGTATATATGTGTATACATTATTTTCTTTACACCAAGTAGTTAAAAAAAAACAAATCATGGAGTTTTAGTTATTGAAAAGCATCTTACTAGTGACAATTAGTATATTAACCCTTTTGTTCAACTGATTGCTTACTTAATGTGTAAATAATTCTGTATAAGTAATTATGCTATGAAGCATTTAAATACCAAAAACTACTTCCATATGTAGTAGTAATTTTAGCCTCCATGTACGTTGAACCAGTAGTTGGCTTTTCTTAAAAGGTTTTGATTGTAATTTCTATGGAATATGTACAATCCAAAGGACGTGTAATAAACCAGGAATGAAACAGGCTTCACCATGGTAGGCTGTTAATCATATTGAACCCATTATTACACTCATATCCCCCAAACCCTTGACTCCTAGAAAAGCATGGTACCAAAAATGTTTCAGAAGAATGTAGCATATAATTATTTTCTAGTCAGACAACAACAAAAAATGGAGTTTTTAAGGATACAAATAATAACTGGTGCTGCTGCTGCAACTTTCCCAACTTCCTCATCAGTCTGCATGATTTTCTTTATTCTTGCCTAAAAATACACAAGAAAGAGAAACACCTTACGATGTACAAACACACACACACACACATGCAGTATTGATAGAGTAAAGCTAACCTGTAACTTCAAAATTATTATGTAATTCCTTAGGAAAGATTGCCAAATTTTTTATTTTTAGCTAAGTGCAACCAAATGGTTAGCATGGAAGATTCTAAAACTGAGGTTCATGTCCTGTTGCTGCCAAAAAAACAAAACAAAAAAATCTATTCGCTCTGCACCTTTTCCATGCTGTGAATCCATTATATGAGTGATAGTCAAATCCCACTACATGATCCAACAAGAGTAGTCTAAAAGTTGGCATTGTTGACTAGAACTGGGTAATTAATTAAATTGATTTCCTTTAAGCATCAATTACATCTACGAGTGTCATTTAAAATAAACATTTAATTGAAATTATTATTATTAAATTGATTAATGGCACAAAAATAAACTAATGTTTCAGGTCATTATTGTTCAGATTATTACAACTATCCAAGTAATCAAAATATTTCCATTATTTTGATTAATTCAAGGTTGTTCAGTATAATTAATTAGTGCTATGACACATGAAAATAATCAAGTAATCAAAATTAGTGTTTCTGATTATTACTACTTTTGATTATTTCAACTATCCAAGTCTCATATGAGAATAATCAGTTAGTGAACCCAGCAATTAATTGAATCAGCAAATTCCCCTAGTTCCCAGCTAGTGCAGACAGCCGTAAGTAGCTTTGTGCTAATATCCCAAAAGAAAGGGATTTTTTTCTAGAAGCAATACTTGAATATGTCTATTGAATTTGATGAAATATTTTTAATTTTTACTAATATTATCATGAGTTAAAGACACATAGTAGCTCATTTACATTCAAATAACTTTTAACCATATAGTGACTAAACATTTAAATGAGTTTGAAAAAGGTTCTTTGCCATTGAACTTTTTTTTTTTGCAAAACCACTCACAGTGATCAAAATGTAAATATTTTCACAGAGATGGCTTATTATGTACCAGTAATAGGTACATATACAACCTGTTTAAGTTCACTGTCAACAGACACACACACGCAAAAAAGGCTAGTATACTGGAAATGTGATCCAATGATTTATTAATCTATAAAATGGTTACTGTTTTGAAAAATACTAAGTTGCACTGGTTCTGAAATGCCCTATACAAATAGCAGCTAATTAGTTTCTAGTAAACATCATGTATCTGGGAAACCATATACAAAGTTGTTCAATATTAGTGAAATCTAATTATAACTTAAAACTAAAAGAAGTGAAGAATGGAGTACTTTTTAAACCAAACTGAATTAGTGTTAATTATGAAAACAATATTGTCAGTGTCAATAGTCAATAGCGAGCATTCTTTGACTTTGAGTGTATTTAACATTTTTTCAAGACTGTTACAGTTTATTCAGTTTATAAATAAAATGATACTTACTTTATAATAATTTATTTACATTTTTTTTATATGTATAATAAAACAAAATTTAATTGTGAGGCTTCAAGACGCTGGAACTCGCTGCCAGACCAATACATTACTCATTAGTGTTACTAATACTACTTTTACTAATGTTAATGGTAACGTCTAAAAATTCTTCATCACTACTGAAGATTTTTGAGACATTTCCGTTAGCACTAGTAACAGTAGTACAATAGATGCACTCTTCCTTCTTACAGATTAGCAACAGTATTGAACAAGAAGTTGAATTATCCAGCATCCGATCCATTAGTGCAAAGGAAGTTACTGAAACTCTATATTCCTAGAATAAGGTTAATTAACGTAGATCATAAAAAAAAGTATACATTTAGCTTTCTAAATGTACAACTTAGATTATGTTAACTCCTTAGGCCTAATAATATATGTGTATAGTTTATTTTGACACTGACAAAGCACTTTCATATCATTTTCAGTCAAGAAAGGAAAGTGAAACAAAAATTACTTACAGGAGGAAATCTGGCGTTATACTTCTTCTTTTTGCTCGGCATTTTGTTTGTTCAGAAACAAATATTCTCACGCAAACTAGCCTAACATATGAAATGAACGAAACTTCACAATAATAAATACTAGTTCATCCAGAACGAACTAATCAACGTATGAGATAACACATTTATCCAATCCAAAATAATTTACCCAACATTAAATATGCAAAAAATGTAAATAAAATTTTAAATTAACGCAAATAATGCACACCTGTGCTAGTTAAAAAGTTGAGTTGAATAGAAATTTCAGAATCTTAAGCAACTGTAAGCCACTAAAATGTGATCTTTATTTTTAGATTAAATTAGACATTATAAACTTTGTTGGGACAAACATGCAAATACTTTCTCACATCGATATATGTATTTTTATATAGACAGGCGTTTGTGATATTTTTGTTTATAACGTACATAAAACCGACATTTTCCAACATTCAATCATAGTTATTATGCTACTGTTAATTTGCATAATATTTTTCAGCGCAAAATATTTTGTAATTATTGGAAGACAAACGTGTAATATTATTTAATTAAATAAGTTCTTTTCAGTCTGTCGCAGAAGACCCCCCTCCGGCGGCCCTAGGCGAGCTTGAGAGCTTAAATGCTAAAATTTGGGGTTCGATACCCGCGGCAGATGGCGCAAGTAGTTCTTTCTGTGGAGTTGCGCTGAAACAATAATAACACAGGCCTGCAATGGTTTTATTGTCTTGAAATTTTTACATGTTCTATAGTAATTCCTGTACGCTGAATCCGAAAATTATGTCCATTTTTCTCCATCACTTACAGATTATTCACAAAACGTTATATGTACTTTTAAATATGTAAATCCTTTTCAATGAGATCGGGTCACATTTTGTTATGCTTAAAATGTTGACAACCATTGTCTATAGATTTCTCTAGACCAATCGCGACGTGAGAGTTTTATCGCTCGTTCTAGAATCCAAACATAACAAACCTAATGATAAAAAATGTTCATTGTGGTAAACGAAATACTGATTTGATCTAAGTAAAAATGTTTTTTCTTCCCAATTTGTAAAAAAAAACCCTTACGTGATAGAAAAAGAAATTAATATTATATTCGAAATCTGCGTAGCTGAATTATATAAAAATCCGTTATTAAAACAAAAACAACTTCAATGAAGTTTAAATTCTCAGGCCTCTGTATTAAAACACAGGAGTGCTATGTTGCTGTATTTCTATTGTTTATTTGCTAGAACCAATACTAAAGTTTATGCTCAGTTGTTGAAGAATTAGTGTCATGGCAGGACATCTAAGTAATGGGAAGAAAAATTTATTATTCTGGAGGTACGGAAGAAAATTAGGACATATTTCTTAAATAATAATAATATTTATTTTATTCAAAGAGAGAATAATTTAACCATTTAGATGTAACTGCAAACAAAAAGTTTGAAGTATTCAACTGAATATTTAACTACCATAATAATAATAAAAGTTTTGGTATATATGATATCTATAAACAATTTTAATCTGTGAGAAGATACTAATTTTCCATAGTCTTTGGTGAAGTCTTGTTTGTAATATTGAAAGTAATTTTGGTTTCCTCACAACAAAAGATAATAATACACTGGGAAGAGTACAGTGATAGGTTTACTATAATAATACCTAATGTAATAACTGAGATAGTCATAAATTTCATCCTCCCATAATTTATAATATATCTTGAAAACTTGGTCAAATGTATTTAGGTAATTTTTTAAAAAAATTCATGCAAGTATACTGCATTTATAAATAAATAAGGACACGACCTCGGTGTCTTTTTAGCTAGTTATGGCCATGCATGTGTATGAGCCGCGTAGGGATGGGCGAGTCTATTTGAAGTGGTGGTCAGATATTTGTACAAATTGGTATGAGTTAGGAGTTTCTTCCTATAGATGTTACTTGGAATAGTTGGTATATTGCTGTGTTGGATATAAGGTCGGTCAAATTGACCTAGTCCATATAATGTTAGAGTAGAGAAAATAACATGTAAAATATAATTAATTATTATGTTTTACTGAGAAAAAATAACCAGGGTTCAGTGGTATGTTTGCGGAATTATAACGCTAAAAATTGGATTTCGATATCATTATAGGCACAACACAGATAGCCCATTGTGTAACTATGTGCTTAAGTACAATACAAAACTTGAAATTCATTTAGGAGGTTTTAGAAGTTATGAAAATAGTGTTACGTCTCTGGTCGTTTGTTAATTTTTTGTAGAAATTCTTTCCGAGAAACTTCAGTGATA